AAACCAACGTCTTTAATGCCACCTTTGAGATCTGGCCTGACGGCCCCTTAACCATCATCAGTAACTTCAGATTGGGCCGCATCACCACTGTCCCTGTGTGCTGGAGTGAGATCAGTGCGGCCTGGGGACAGACAGCCTTGCTGCTCCTTTCCCTGGCCAATACCATTGGACTGGAGTTTCAGAGGTACCGACTCATCCCCTGCGGAAACCATTCCTATCTGAGATCTTTAACAGATGACTGTGCCAAGTTGCCGTTGTATTCTGGTGGGAAGCAGAATGTTTTCTTACACAACAAATTTGATCAGGCTATGATGGCTTTCCTGGACTGCATGCAGCAGTTCAAGGAAGCAGCTGAGAAGGATGAGTCGGATCTCTGCCCTACAAGATTCATGTGAAGAAAGGCCTGATGGAAGACCCTGGAAGCAGCAGTGGATTCTATCCCATCAGAACCCACTTGAACACGGAGGAGGACTGGACAAAGGCACTCAACCTCATGCTTATAAATTTTAAGTGTAGTCTCACTTGGGTCTCCTTAAGGTATGGTCAAAAATAACTTATTCTATGAAGGGGAGATGATTTTTTTGATTTAATATGTTTTATTTGTGAAAATGTTAGCAGATAAAATTTAAAACTGAAAAAAAAATAATTTATGACATAAAATTATTACTTCAGTTTAGTCTAATCTAGAAAATCTTGCTATGCTCATCACATCAGTTCAAAACAATATGAAGAGGGTCCCTATCCTTTGCTGTATATAGGGGAGAACAGACATAAGGCAATTGTGATTACATAGTGATTAGAGTTCATAATGGGAGCCCTATCAGATCTTAATCTCATCTGATGGGTCAGAGGAGGCCTTTATGAAGAGCAGAGAACAAAATAAAAATCGTTCATAATCTCATCAGCTGGAAATAATAGCACTTTGATTTGAGATTATTTTCTTCCAATCCTTTCATATATACTTTCTCCAGCTTCATCCGTTGAAACTCAGCATGATAGTCTCTGGTTACTCATTCGCTATAACATGCTATTCCTTCTATCCTAGAATTTCATACCTTGGCAATTTTTCTGGAATACTGTTTACATGTGATTGTAACATATGATACTAAGAAAGGGTTTATGACCAAAGCAAGTTCAGCATGAGTTAGAGTTTCTGACGTGCTAATAGCACCGGACACCTCTAACACGGGTTATGGTATTAATGGCCCCATTTTCTAAGCCAATTGGGTTTTTATATTTTTAAGAGGCATCTTGAAGGAACACAAAAGTATTCTGAGAAATACTCTATGAACCTGGACATGTTTCAGGGGTGTATGGCTCTTAACAGAGTCCCACTATTTTAGAACATGAAACTCAATCTGCGTGTTAAATGAACCCAGCACATTTCAGACAGATCAAGGTGGAAAACCCCAGGCTCTTGCCAGGCTCTTGCCAGGCTCTTGCCAGGCTCTTGCCATTTATCAGAGCCCAGCTTGGAGCTCCTGGCCTTGTTTAGCATAGGGAACATGTGGCAGCCTAGGCCAGAGTCAGCACTTTCCTTCCCCAGTTTCTCAAAACAAACAATGGACATTAGAAGCTACTCTTGGATTAACCAGTGCACACACATTGTCACAAGACCTGTTTTGATTCTGGTTTGGAGCTCCCAAGTCCCTTTTCCTCTGGAAAAGACGCAATAGTTCTTGAAGTCTGGCCAAAATGAATGTTTCTTCTGCAATGACACCTCGTGGTCAAGAAGGGGAACACACAGGACCGTAGGGTTTCCACGTTGCCTCTGCTGCAGCTAGGGAGCACTTTCCCTCCGGAGCCCAGGTCAGTGAGAGACACTGATGTCAAACTGACAAGGTTTGACTTTTCTGCCCCCTACCCCACCATCTCCCTGATCCCATGGTTTGTCAACAAGCTCCAGCTGCCTTCAACAAGCCTGGCTGCTGGGAGCAACGTCCATCCCCACCCTTCAGAAAGCACGTGGGAGTGTGTGTGCGCACTGCGCCAGTCATGTCCGACTCTGTGACCCCATGAGCTGCAACCCGCCCGCCTCCTCTGTCCATGGGATTCTCCAGGCAAGAGTACTGGAGTGGGCTGCAATTTCCTCCTCCAGGGGATCTTCCTGACCCAGGGATCAAACCTGGGTCTCCTGTGTCTCTTGCATCGGCAGGTGGGTTCTTTTATCACTGAACCACCTGGGAAGCCCACCCTTCAGAACATCCTCCCCTAAAGTGCTCCCGCCCCTAGAATCACTTCTCCCACCTTCCTTACTACGCAGATTCCTACTCCTTCAGTGCATGAAACTCAGCTGACTGACAGGGTTTACAAGGATGTGCAGAGGTATCACATACGTGATCGCCTCTTACCCTCTCCACAGTCTTTGGGGAAGGCTGTATAATGATCATCCCAATCTTGCAGATGAAGATACTAACCGTCTGAGAGGCCACGAGTGACAGAAGCCAGAACTCAAACCCTCATTTGTTGATTCCAGATTCCCTGTCCTTTTACTGCTGGCTTACTCCCGCTGATCTAAATTAAAGGAAACAATCTCTAATGTTGAGAATTCTCTCTTTAGATGTAGAAGGTTGAGGAACTCTGCTCCCCAGACTGCCCACTGTGGATTGTTTCAAAATATTTTAAAAGTCAGAAACGGGTTTCAACTGACCCACAGAAGATGACATGATAGACTCTCTGGGGCTCCATGAGGCAAGACAGAGCCGAAGTCTTTAAGAACAATGCCCAACCCGCACCACCATCCAGAGGGTTTTTCGGTCACTGTCAAATCCCAATTCTGACTCCGAGTAATTCTTAACTAGAGGCAGAATAAATCTTTTCCAAAGTAACTAAGCAATCTCCATTTAACCCCTTTTATTGCCCTCATGTTTTTGGATCATTGAAAAACTGAGTTCTGGCTTCTAACAAGCAGATGAATCTTTCACAGGAGAGCTGTGAATAGGGTCCCCACATCCTACAGGGCAGAGGCCAGCCTCCTAGTCGGATACGCAGGCCCTACATCATCTCTCATCTCAGCTTCTCTTCAGTGGTATCTCCCATCCTTCCTGCAGGCACAGATCCTAAGCTTTCTCCATGCTTAGCCTACTCATTCTTAAGGAACCGGCTCAGACAACAGCTAATTGTTCTACCAGGCACTTGGTACTTTTATTTAAACTTCACAATAGGACTTCCCTAACTCCACACTCCCAATGCAAGGGGCATGGGTTTGATCCCTGGTTGAGGAAGTAAGATCTCACAGGCTGCAAAAAGAAGTCAAAAAAAAAAAAAAAGACTTCACAATATCCGTATGAAATAAATACTATTTTATGCCCATTTTACAGATGTACAAATGAAGGCAAAGAGAGACTAACTTGCCAAGGTCACACAACTAACAAGCCAGGATTCAAGCCCATGCATGCTCCCAACCACTATGCTCTCCTGCCTGTTCAAGTGCCTCCTCCTTGAAGAAACCTTCTTTGACCCCTCTGGATTCTAGCACCACTGGATACAAACGACGGCAGCATTTCCCACCTTGTTACCCTCTGCTAGCTGCACTGACAGGTGGGTCAGTGGTAAAGAATCTGCCTGCCAGTGCAGGAGAGGTAAGAGACAGAGGTTCGGTCCCTGGATCAGGAAGATCCCCTGGAGAAGGAAATGGCCACCCACTCTGGTATTCTTGCCTGGAGAATCGCATGGACAGAGGACTCTGGCAGGCTGCAGTCCACGGGGTCACAAGAGTCAGCTGAGTGACTGCGCATGCACTCATGCAACCCCCTGCTCCACACACTCCGCCAGAAGGCCAGGTCACCGGTGTCTGTGGCTGGCCTGTGACCATCTATGGAGCCCCTGGGCTGTTCACAGGAGGAGACAGGAGGCCATACAGCCAGAGGAGAGCTGCCAGCCAGTCTGGACACACTCAGTAAAAACTTGCCAGCCAGAAATATGTAGACAAATCCAGAAGCTTGTTGAAATCCATAATACATCTTCTGTTTTATGTTCAATACATTGGGTTCTACTAATTCTTTTTTTTTTTTAACTTTCCAGAAGTTCTTGTTTTACCCCCAAACTAATGGTAGAGTGCTCAAGTTCCCCTCATTTGGCAGGAGCCCCTATCTGTGCCCTCACTTGGAAGGACTTGCTCTCCCATCTCATCTCCTCAGACCTGTTGTCTATACCCACTGCTCCACCACCCACTTCCTTTCCGCCCACACTTGACAGAAAGTCTTCCCAGAAGTTAATCCAATGGGACGTCCCAGACCTTGGCTTTCTTGATCTTCAGGAGTGGTGGGTGCAGCTGGCTAAGCAGCTGGTGGAAACAGGGCCCAGGGATTCCAATGGGGTTTTCCCACATTAGTCGACTCCAAGGTAATGGCAGCGGGATGTTTATACAGCTCCTTTTTTCTTTCCAGTTTGTTTCCTGATTGAAAGGTCAAATGCTAAACTGCCTGGTACAAAACCAGTCTCCTGGCAACCACAACAGAATCTACCATTTCCTTTCCTGAGAATGTGGGAACCTCATAGCAGACCCAGTTGTGTAGTGGGGACCATACAATGGGGTTGCGTTTGGGGGTGGGAACCAGGGCAGTCTGAGATGTATCTGCCTAGATAAGGGATGGAAATAGAAACTTCTCTGCCCTTAAGTGGAGCCACAGAGTTAAACCAGAGGACTTAAATGTATACTTTAGGACATGATCATAATCAAAACTAAAATCCCACCAGTGCCTGTGCAGCGACTGGTGACTGATACATGCTTGCTTGAGAGAATTCAGTTATGCGGAATAAAGAAAACAAGTTAACATGCACGATGTAATTATCTGTCACAATAACCTATGAGGTAGGCACTATTATGAGAAAAAATGCTGCTTAAAGAGATGGTCCGAGATAATCCAGTGCAAAATGCAGGGGGGAGGGGCAGCCCTCAGGAGCATCTGACTGGTCAGCCCAGGGTCTCCTCTGGCAATGCTGACCACACCAGCGGCACCTCGATGTGGGGGGCTGGCCTTCCTTGCAGACCTTTTTACCTGCTGAGACTTGACGCTCTTGGTGCAGGACATTGTAGCTCTTCCAGCTGTACTGAGGGGCTGGGGAGCCCTCCTTTGACTGGCAGGTCAGCTGGATGTTGTTCCCAATGACGGTCTCTCCCTGAATGCTGCAGTCTGGCTTGGAGGGCGGCACTGTGTGGGGAGAGCCGAAGGGAAGCCGTGAATGACTTGGGGCTTGGTGACAGCCGCTCCCTCGCCCCAGACACACATGCACTGCCTTGTTTGTTCACAGGCAGAGAAATGTAAAAACTTTGCTTAGCTCACTCGCCTGAGAAAACAGTCTGCAGGCTGGATTTGGCTGTAGTTTGCCTACCCTTGGTTTCAGTGAAAACCTCTCTCTCTGAAACCCTTCAATGCTAACTTCTTAGGAATGTTCCCTTCAGTTAAGCAGTACTCTCTTCTTGTGCTTTGCTCATGAAAAGGAATGACCACAAGTGACTGGGTGATGGAAGAGACCCCTGGCGGCAGTGGGATTATGTGCAGGGCAGAGAAAGAGGGCTGAGGAGATGGAGGGGACAGAAAGGAACAGACACACACAAAAAAGAAGACAGCAGAAAGAAGGTGGCAGAAACCAACAGGCCACCCTCAACGCACAAGCCTAATCTGACCTCTTAGAACTCCTGAAGACCTCAAGCCAGGGCCATTCACTCAACACTGTAAGTTACCATACCACTGTGTACAGTGGTTTGTTCTACAAAAATACTGTATTCCTGACTCTGCTGGGCATGGAGATGACATCGTGTGTGAGTTTTTGTGTTTAAGGAATCCAGTGGAGGCCCCCCAAAAAAAGCAACGACCAGGCAGGACGCAACAATGCTGGGACAGGAAAGGCATGACCCAGTCATGAAGCCAGCAGTGGAGGTGGTGGGAGGGGCTGGAGAAAGACGGGGTGGCACTCCAGCCAGAGGGAGCAGCCTTTGCAAAGGCCCTGAGGCAAGACTTCAGGTAGTGCCCTTCTGAGGGGAAGAAGAGGACACTCAGTGGAAAGTACTACTGCTGACTTCCCCAGGGGGCACGCCTGTCCATTCTGCTTGCTTCTTTCTATGCCCCCTTGGATGATTTGCTCGCCCCAGTAAAGAATGCTGCCCTTTCCACAATTCAGACTGCACAGGTGCACAGTCACAGGGCGTGGAGGGTGAATTCCCGTCTCTGCTTGGCCCAGAGCTGCTGGGAGAAGCTATCCAGGATGCACCTCTCCCCTCTAGCCTCACATTTGCTCTGGTATTTGCTCTCTGACAAAGGCAGGTAGTTGCTGGGTGTGCCCCCTCATTTCCTGTTGTCTTGATGAGAGGCAGTCAGGCATGGAGCAGCGTGGGGCAAATCAAAGGCATTTCCCATTGACACCCTAAACCTAAAAGGCCCTAGGTTCAAGAACAGGACTCAGGTATCCATGCCCAGACCCCAGAGACTGAAGCAGCCTGGGGAAGAAAAGGCTGCTACCCACCGCTACTCTCACAAACAGCCCGCTGCCCTCCCTGCTGGCCCAGCCTGCAGGCATCTGCAAGGACAGAGAAAGTGAGCATCACTTCTGAGGAGACTGGCTCTGGTCAGAGCTGTTCCTGAGCCAAGCTTTATCTCTTGAGCTCTCTAGAGGTCCAGGAACATCCTTCCCTACCAGTAAAAACTCCCACCCTTGCTTGCCAGGTACTCCTTTAACAGGATCCTAACCTTTTATTCCACAAAAGAGACTGGCCACAAACCCAATACCATCTGCGAAGTCTCTCATTGACTCAGAGCCATGCTAAGGGTGCATGACTAGTAGCCAGCATATGCTGAACATATCCAGTGACTAGCTTTCTTATGCCACGGTTTGCTGAGGGAAAATTATGAAAAACAAATCCCTAATCCACTCTAGGGGCAGCAGTAGAAATAACGGCAAACAAGGGACTAGCCACTTCCTAGGAGACCCACCTTATGGAGGAATGTGTTCGGGTCCTTTCCCCAGGCCCTAAACCACAGCCCTCAAACTGCTTTCCCACCTCAGCTCATCCTAGGCGCCCCCAGCCCTCACTCCGTCCAGCCCCTCCCCGACTGGCCTCGGCGGCCCTCACCATCAAGAACAACTAGGACCTAGAATCATACAGATCTAGTTCAAACAGCCCTTCCACCCGCTGAAGGGGCATGTAGGACTCTTGTAGATCTTGGATCTCAGCTGGCGCGTCCCAGCTCCTAAACAGATTGTAGAGTACACCTGAATATTCATAGAGGGCGGAGCGATGGCAGGGAGCGGGTCCAGGCCTCTCCAAGGCCCGCGACTCCCACTGCAGACGTCAGGGGGCGCCAGAGGCCGGGAAGACGGCCGGTCCAGCCCGGCGGCGCCAGGCCCCCGGGCCCCGGGCCAGGGGCCTGCCCCGCGGTGACCGAGACGGTTCGCCTCCTCAAAGCTCCGTGCTCGCCTCAGCTTACTGTGAGGCCACGCAGCCTGAATGGACAACCCCATATAATTCAAAAGCTTTTCTGCCGAAAGTCAGCCCAGCAGCAAGCCATTTGGAAATAAAACTTGTAAAAATCTTTTTCCCTGGGTTTACTTAACATGTACCAATTATCTTTCTTTTTAAAGCAAAACAGTCTTTTCACCGAGTTTCATAATCTCAGATTAAACTTGCAGTCTTTGCCTTGGAGTTTAACTAACTCGTCTCTTAAAGTGCCGCTGGTCCTAAGAGGAGGGGGTGGAAATCCGGACATTCACACTTGAGTCGGCCCGGCCCGCTGCCCTGCCTGAAACCAGCTTGCTGCCAGAAGAAAACCAGAGCCGTTAAATACGGAAGCCAGAGGGGCCAGAGTCAGCCAGAGAAGGACCAGCGGGGAGCAGAGTGCGGGACTCAGCTGGCGGTGAACCAGGGTAAGGGGAGGCGGTGAGGGAGGGCGGACAGTGCAGAGGAGGAACGGGAGGAAAATGCTCGTTTCCCTGGCTGGGTAATATCTCTCTCGGGAGCTAATGCAGATAAAATTAAGCGCTGTGAACACAAAACGGTTTAATGCAGCATTAATTATAATAGCTTAAATTGGAAACGGTGTCCAGTTCTAGGACAGAGGACTCAGCATTCCCTTGCTGAAGTGGCATGAAGCTTAAAGAACAGCAAGTATTAAGACAGCAGGTAATGAAATGAAAAGAGAAAAGTTCCTGTGGTTAGGTTACAAATTCAGTTATGTACAGAAATAAGTATGTGGCTAGGAGCTGGAAGAAAACATGGAGAAATAAAACCCAATGATATAGGTGAATGTTTGTCTTTTTTGTTCCACCTTTCTTTAAATTAGTATTTTTTTAAGAGGCAAGGGGTCACCAAACACAGCTATTTGTTTATTTGTGTTAGGACTAAGGTCCTTGTAGCGGGAGAACAAGGACAGGGCAGCAGGGCTTCTTTCTGACAGTCTGGTGCGTTAGCGAGTTTGACATGAGGAGCCCTTCACAAATGGGCAGACTCTTGATTCCACAGAGCCAGTAGAAAGACACATCATGGCACTCCACCTCGTCTGGGTCAACTGAAACACCGCTGTAAAAATGCTGTAAGATAACAAAATGTGACGGTGTCAGCCTTGTCCAGGAGATGAGGGGAGGTGTTCCTACAGCTCTAAGACCATCAAAGCTCCCCATGAAAGCTCCCCATGAAGTAAATATCCATGTACTCAGAGGGCTGTGGGGCTTCAGTGTCCCAGACCTAGGTTACGACCTTCGATGTGGAAGAGCAGTTACAGAACCTCAGTTTTCAGTGAGTGATGCTTCCAAGGTGGGCATGTCCTGTGGACAGTGGGCACATCCATGGCTGGCACTGCTCTGCCTCTCCAACCTTCTTTCATTGGCATGGGTGCAGGAAGGGCAAGACACAAGTTAATGCAATGACACCATAAAACATAACTGGCAAGCTTACATCTGCCATGGAGTGAAAGAGAGGGTATGCTGAAACGTTGTCAGTGATGAAGAGTTTGGGAATCACCCGGAACTGGAAGGCTTGATGGTTGGGAACGGTGAAGGGATTGAGCAGCCCTGTTTCCATCAAAGCTTGGACACTTTCTAGTGGTCATTTAACCACTTGGGTCTCAGTGTTCCCTTCTATCAAATATGAATGTTAATACCCACTTTCACAGATGTATTGCAAAGAGGAAATGAGATCATATCCATAGAGGACTTACTGAGATGCCTGGCACATAGCCAACAGACGCTCAAAAAAGGATAGTTGTTATGATTGTGAACTTGGTGTTATCTAATTAAAGGATGCTTACTCTTTGGAAGGAAAGCTATGACCAACCTAGACAGCATATTAAAAAGCAGAGACATTACTTTGCCAACAAAGGTCCATCTGGTCAAGGCTATGGTTTTTCCAGTGGTCATGTATGGATGTGAAAGTTGGACTATAAAGAAAGCTGAGCGCCGAAGAACTGATGCTTTTGAACTGTGGTGCTGGAGAAGACTTTTGAGAGTCCCTTGGACTGCAAGGAGACCCAACCAGTCCATCCTGAAGGAGATCAGTCCTGGCTGTTCATTGGAAGGACTGATGCTGAAGCTGAAACTCCAGTACTTTGGTCATCTGATGCGAAGAACTGACTCATCTCAAAAGACCCTGATGCTAGGAAAGATTGAAGGCAGGAGAAGAAGGGGATGACAGAGGATTAGATGATTGGATGGCATCACTGAGTTGATGGACATGAGTTTGAGTAAGCTCTGGGAGTTGGTGATGGACAGGGAAGCCTGGTGTGCTGCAGTCCATGGGGTCACAAAGAGTTGGACATGACTGAGCAACTGAACTGACTGATACAGGCAAAGGTCATTGCAATTTGTAGTTTTCCCTCCATTTAAGAGGATCCCCTTGGTTTGCAGAGCAGGAGGACACAGAGATTGGGTATTTGGTTACATGGAATGGGTACGGTTTCCTGCCCTCCTCTTACACAACTAAGTAAACACATTAGTCTTTATTTGGCCACAGAAAGCCTGGAATCCAGTCATTATAGATTGGGCAATATAGGTCAGAAAATCTGATATATCATCTTCCTGATATCATTAAAATGTCATTCCATTGCAAAATAATACGTAAATTGAATATAATTCCAACCAACTTTTTTTAAACACAACAATGTGATTTTAATATTAACATGAAAGAATAAATGTGTATAACTGATTTGGAAAAGTTTAATAAGAGAAAATATTACACAGTGTCAGATTTTAAAAGCCATGCACACAAATACTGATAACTAAATATGTATGTGTGCATGTGTGTTTGTATCTCCGCACGGACTACAGACATACTATAATCACAACAATGTGATATTGGCATAGGAATAATCAAAAGGAGAATAAATGAAATAAGGAGTAAAAAACAGCTGTGTTTATGTAACAATTTAACTTGTGACAAACCTGGCATTCCAGTGGGAAAATAATTGTTTCTTTGGTGTAATAAATGATGTTGATGTAATTGGCTATCCATTTGGAAGAAACCAAAGACCCTTAGTATCCTATGTTCAAAAATAAATTCCTGATGAAACAAAGATCTAAGGGTAAAAAAACAAGACTTACAGACATAAGAAAAAAACATTAAGTTCATTTTTATAACCCCAAAGGTGGTGTGGGAGATCTTGTACCAGACAAGAGTCCCCAAATCCAGAGCAAAAGACATCAATAGGATATGGGGGGGGGGGGGGCGGGGAGGGTACTTCTCCTGTGTCTCAGAATGTCCACTAAAATCTTCAGGTTGAGGCTCTGAATGGTTAGTATCCTCAGTGCTAAGGAGAGGAGTGACCTTCCCAGTAGTGAATTTTCCAATTATCAGTTACCCTCCTGCTTCCCATTTAAGAGAAGGCTAGAGATTCATCAGAGAGATTTCTTTAAAGAAGATTGTCAGAAATAGGGACCATGAGCATCTCTCCTCCTTCTCTTGGTGGAAGGTAAGGAGGTATTTCCCCGCATCTCGTTCCCAGCCAGGGAAGAACCACGAGAATACCATGTGGAGATAGCAGTTTTCTACTGTCGGGAACTGGCACCTCTCACTTGTCACTGAGGCTTGTAAAGAGTCAGTAAGTTCCTGCAGCTTACTCCTGGAACGTGATGATGGAAGGGCTGTATAGATGTCCTTGGGTATCTGAGGAACCATCTGGGGGCACATTCAGGTCCTAGCACTTGCTCAGAGAAGCTGGCTGGAGCAGACTGCAATGGCAAGGCGAGGAGAGCATGCAGCAGTGAGAATGATCTGCCTTTCCAGGTGCAGGCTTTAGCAGAATAAGGATGGAGGTGTGTTCTTGTCACACTGAAAGGATTTGGCCCCAGAGAGCTGTTGGCTGGGTCAAGGGGAGCCCAGAGTGGACAGTGAAGAGTAAGAGCAAGTTACCACAATCAGGGGAAGGTGGGAAAAGGTGAAAGATGTGAAAATCTGGCCTGCAGGTGTGCAAAATAGTTGTGTCAGGTGGGTCCCTTGGTGGGGCCAGTGCTGAGGAACCCTCTCACGCCCCCCACAGAAGAGGCAGTAGTGGGATGTCTGCTCTGATTGGGATCACAGGATAGCAAGAGAAGATGGTAAGGGGCCTGGCTAGGTGATCACGGCTTTGCTTTCCCCTTTAACACTTGGCCATGACCTCAGAGTCACAGAGGTGAGAGTGGGAGGAAGTGAACTAAGGAGAATAAGGAAACAGACCCAGCCTTTAATCCACTGCTGGTCTCCTCACCTTAGGGGGTCAGCGCCAAGTTAAGGGGAGATGTGAAGCTTATCCAGGCTTCCTAGGTGGTGCTAGTGGTAAAGAACCTGCCTGCCAAGGCAGAAGACATAACAGATGAGGGTTGGGTCCCTGGGTTGGGAGGATCCCTGGAGCAGGGTGTGGCAACCCACTCCAGTATTCTTGCCTGGAGAATCCCATGAACAGAGGAGCCTGGTGGGCTATGGTCCACAGGGTCGCAAAGAGTCAGACACAGCTGAAGTGACTTAACATGGATGTGAAACTTGAACTGAACAAATTTTTTTTTTCACCTAGTCAATTAACAAAATTTATAAAAAATTAAGCTTCCCTTGTGGCTCAACTGGTAAAGAATCTGCCTGCAATGGGGGAGACCTGGGTTCAATCCCTGGGTTGGGAAGAACCCTGGAGAAGGGAAAGGCTACCCACTCCAGTATTCTGGCCTGGAGAATTCCATGGAATTCCATGGGGTCACAAAGAGTTGAACATGACTGAGCGACTTTCACAGAAAAATTAAGAAGATTGATAACATTCAGTTCTGGTAAGAATATAGGAAAATAAGCATGATCACATAATGATCATGGCAATAGTAAATTGCTCGGGAGAAAGTAATTTGCCAGTATGGAGTAACTTTTAATGAAAGCAAAGTCTTTGACCTAGAAATCCTTCTTTTTAAATTTTTTTCCTTGATGCCTAATGATGTTGACCAAATAGAAATCCTGCTTTTAAGAATTTATCCAACAGAAACAAAGATAACACAGTAAAAGAATATGCATATACATATATATGTATATATATATACATACATATATATACACATATTATACATACATGTATATTGTTTGTACAGAAGAATGGAAACAGCTTGAGAATGTACATCAGTATGGGCCACTGGAATAATCATAGTACATTCATGCGAGGGAATGTATTATATTAATAGGTATATTTGTATGTAATGGTCTGGAGAAATCTACATGAAACATTAAGAAAAAGAAAGTTACAAAAAACCTTTATAATATGATCTCTTTTTTTAAGAAAAGGAAAGAAAGAAAAATGAAATGTGTGTGTGTGTGTGTGTGTCTTGAAAAGACTTGGAGAGGAATCATTCAAGGGTGGCCTTGGCCACCTTGTTAACACGAGGGTGCAAGGAGGAGATGGTTATCCTTTATTCAGGGCTTTATTGTTTAACTCACCACCATGATTCAAAAACCCAGGCAGCCACCTTATGCAATTAAAAATAAAATCCCACTATGTAGTGTAAAGGAGGTAAAATGGAGGAACATGATCCATTTCTTTGGTTTAAAGTATGGCTAAAAAGTATTGCTACCCACCAGTGTGGGGATCATTTCTTAGAGTAGACACAGGCCGGCTCACTAAAGTTTTTCCAACAACTGTTTGACATTGAGTCAGGTCAATGAAGATTCTAAAAGTAGGTGATCATTCCAATCATTCCAAAATTATAAACTTCAATAACAAGCTATTTGTGTAAAAAGAATGTTATTGTGGGACATATTTCAGAAACAATAAAACCTGATGAATGGTGTGTTAGAGCCGAGGGCTGGGGAGATGGTGGTGTGAAGGACTTCTACTGATTAGCTGAATTTAGAGCTGGAAAAGATGCCTGACATATAAGAGTCAAGATTTGGCCCTCAGCTTCACAGCAAGGCAGTGAAAATCTTTCCAGTAGGATCTAGGATTTCCATTTTTCTTCTTTTTAGTAAGTTTTCCATGAAAAAGAGAGGAGCTAGTGTGAAGGAAAGAGCACTGGATGGTGCATGGACAGAATCTCCAGGGCTGACCCCCAGGGACCACTCCAAATCAGCCTTGACCTCTGTCCTGGGGAGCTGTATGCCCAGAGAGAATTGTATTTGGTTCCAGGGGGAGAAGCAGATCCCCAAGCCTCCAGACAGACCAGATGAGGGGAGAAGTCTTAGCTCTTCATCAGGCATTGATTCTAGTTTTATCTTGCCACCAGGGTGCCTCCTCCTCATACCCCACCCTCCCCAGCCTCTTCCTATCATCCCAGGAAGGAGGAGACACTCACCAAGGACCAAGAGATGGACACGTGACTTGGAAACGCCACCCAGATCTGACATCAGTGAGACGGAGCACTCATAGGTGCCATTGTCATCCATGGTCAACTGGTCAATGGTGATGGAGGCATCTGACTGCTCAGCATTGTTTGATACTCTAGCACGATTCTGATAAAGTTCACCATAGATATACTTTTTGGTCGAAAATGTCCAGATGAGCACCCCTTCCTGGAAGGAAAAAGAAATACCACTTGGTCTTCAGCCTAAGGCCCTGGCACAATGATGCAGCCTGTCCTATCTACCCTCACCCACTGTCCCCAGGCCCAGATGTACTGACAAGCCGCCCCTGCAGAACAAAGAGCTCTACATATGGGGCCCATTCATGGATTCCTCTTATGATCTATAGTACTAAAACCTGAGGCAGGTAGGCACTTCACATCAGAGGCTTTCACCTCTTGTAAGTTATGGCACCTCTTTCTTACTCCATTTTAGTTCATTGTCTGCTTTCAAATCTTCAGTCAACCAATATTTATTGAGTATATAAGATGTTCAAGCATTGTGTTGGGCAGTCATCCATGGCTTGCAACCCCCTTTATTTATTTGACTCTTACCTTTGGAATTTGTTTCTTCATCAATATACTCATCATTTATCAAATAAAACATGGTACTAGCTAAGATCACTACTTTTGAACCAGACTGCCTCAATTCAAATCCCAGCTCTGCCACATAGTAGTTGTATGATCTTGAGCAAAATATTAGAGGAAAACAACAGAATGGGAAAGACTAGTGATCTCTTCAAGAAAATTAGGAAAAAAAAAAAAAAAAGAAAATTAGGGAGACCAAGGGAACATTTCATGCAAATATGGGCACAATAAAGGACAGAAATGGTATGGACCTAACAGAAGGAGAAGATAATAAGAAGAGGTGGCAAGAATACACAGAAGAACTATACAAAAAAGACCTTCATGACCCAGGTGACCATGATGGTGTGATCACTCGCCAGACATCTTGGAATGCAAAGCCAAATGGACCTTAGGAAACATCACTACAAAAAAGCTAGTGGAGGTGATAGAATTCCAGTTGAGCTATTTCAAATCGTAGAAGATGCTGCTGTTAAAATGCTGCACTCAATATGCCAGCAAATTTGGAAAACTCGGCAATGGCCACAGGACTGGAAAAGGTCAGTTTTCATTTCAGTCCCAAAGAAAGGCAATGCCAAAGAATGTTCAAACTACCGCACAATTGCACTCATCTCACACGGTAGCAAAATAAAGCTCAAAATTCTCCAAGTCAGGTTTCAATAGTACGTGAACTGTGAACTTCCAGATGTTCAAGATGGATTTAGAAAAGGCAGAGAAACCAGAGATCAAATTGCCAAAATCTGTTGGATCATTGAAAAAGCAAGAGAGTTCCAGAAAAACAACTACTTCTGCTTTATTGACTACACTAAAGCATTTGACTGTGTGGCTCACAACAAAGTGTGGAAAATTTTTCAAGAGATGGGAATACCAGACCACCTTACCTGACTCCTGAGAAATCTACATGCAGGTCAAGAAGCAACAGTTAGTACTGGACATGGAACAACAGACTGGCTCACAAATCGAGAAAGGAGTATGTCAAGGCTGTATATTGTCACCCTGCTTATTTAGCTTATATGCAAAGTATATCATGCAAGATATTGGACTAGATGAAGCACAAGCTGGAATCAAGATTGCCAGAAGAGATATCAATAACCTCAGATATGCAGATGACACCACCCTTAAGGCAAAAAGTAAAGGGGAACTAAAAAGCCTCCTGACGAAAGTGTAAGAAGAGAGTGAAAAAGTCAGCTTAAAACTGAACATTCAGAAAACTAAGATCATGGCACCCGATCCCATCACTTCATGGCAAATAGATGGGGAAACAATGGAAACCATGAGAGACTTTATTTTGGGGGGGCTCCAAAATCACTGCAGATGGTGACTGCAGCCATGAAATTAAAAGACACTTGCTCCTTGGAAGAAAAGCTATGACCAACCCAGACAGTATATTAAAAAACAGAGACATTATTTTGCTGACAAATGTCTGTCTAGTGAAAGCTATGGTTTTTCTAGTAGTCATGTATGGATGTGAGGGTTAGACTATAAAGAAAGTTGAGTGCCAAAGAATTGATGCTTTTGAGCTGTGGTGTTGGAGAAGACTCTTGAGAGTCCCTTGGACTGCAGGGAGAGCCAACTAGTCAATCCTAAAGGAAATGTTCTGAAGTCCTGAATATTCATTGGAAGGACTGATGTTGAAGCTGAAATTCCAATACTTTGGCTACCTGATGCGAAGAGCTGACTTATTTGAAAAGACCCTGATGCTGGAAAAAATTGAAAGTGGGAGGTGAAGGGGACGACAGAGGATGAGATGGTTGGATGGCATCACTGACTCAATGGACATGAGTTTGAACAAGCTCCAGGAGTTGGTGATGGACAGGGAAGCCTGGCGTGCTGTAGTCCATGGGGTCACAAAGAGTCAGACACAACTGAGCAACTGAACTGAACTGAATTGAGCAAAATATTTGACTTCTTTATGAGTCTATTTCTTCTTCTACAGAGTGGAGATAATGATAACAACACTTGTATCATAGGATTTTTGTGAGGATTAAAGTAGATAATATATGAAAAGCAAATGGCATTGAGCCATGGGCTTAATGAAGTCACCTCAGGTAAACAAGTAGAGAAATGGCAAGCCCCTAAGCTACTTAATTGAGAAAGTCAGGGAGAGGTCAGAGAGATAAGAGGGGAAGCCAAGATAAGACTATCAGAGAGCCAAGAGAGGGAGATTCCAAGATGCGAAGTGGTTGATAAAGAAAAGCTAGGGAGAAATGAAATAAGATAAGGACAGAATCAGTACATTAAATTTAACAAAAGAGAAGTTGCTGGTAATTACGGTGGAGTGTTAGAGGAGGAAGGCAGACCATGCTGGGTAGAGAAAAGAGTGTGGAGACAGGGTCAGGTCTGAGGTCTGCACGTACTCCTTATGCAAGTCAGGAAAAGATACTCCAGTTGTTGAACAGACACATATGTGCCAAGCTAATGGTGATCAGGTCCCCTGGGCTGGGTACCCAGATGCATAATTCACCTGGTTACATGCCACAGCTCTGGTAGGAACAGATGACTCTCAGGAAGCTTGGCTGAGGAAGGGAGGAACAAGAAAGCAGGAGATGAGGACCTGTCTTGAGCTGTGGATGAGTGTATGGATGTTGGCCTTTCTCAGTTCAACTTTTTTTCTGACCTACTAGTTACAGCTACCCTAAGGCTTCCCGTTCCTTGACTCTCCCCCATGTCATCTCCCACTCTTGCTAGTACCTGTCCAATACTGCTTGAGGGCATAGATGTAACCCTTTTCTCTGCACCCTTACTTGCTCTCAAGTAACAGCAAATTAAAATTAAAAATAGGGCTGTGGTAGAACAGAGTAGTCTCACACCTAGACAGTATATTAAAAAGCAGAGACATTACTTTGCCTACAAATGTCCATCTAGTCAAGGCTATGGTTTTTCCAGTGGTCATGTATGGATGTGAGAGGTGAACCATAAAGAAAGCTGAGTGCCGAAGAGTTGATGCTTTTGAACTGTGGTGTTGGAGAATACTCTTGAGAGTCCCTTGGACTGCAAGGAGATCCAACCAATCCATCCTAAAGGGAATCAGTTCTGAATATTCATTGGAAGGACTGATGCTGAAGCTCCAATACTTTGGCCACCTGATGAGAAGAACTGAATCATTAGAAAAGACCCTATGCTGGGAAAAATTGAAAGCAGGAGGAGAAGGGGATGACAGAGGATGAGATAGTTGGATGACATCACCAACTCGATGGACATGAGTTTGAGCAAGCTCCGGGAGTTGGTGATGGACAGGGAAGCCTCATGTGCTGCAGTCCATGGGGTCACAAAGAGCTGGACACGACGGAGCAACTGAATTGAACTGAACTTACTTGCTCTCAATGTGATTGCCCCAAATCCTTTAGGAAGTAAGGAATCAGTCAACATAAGATCTTTAGTATTTATCTCAACAGAGATAAATTTATCTTTGTTAGGTGCCTGGCAGAGACCTAACATCTGGTTTGCTGAGAGAACATGTCTTCAGTTTCTGCAAGCTAACGGCAGCAGCTGGCTTCTGCAGGTTTGTTCCTGGGATTCTTGAAACAGATAGGACAGGTACTCTGGCCCATCAGGGTCCCTTGGGCAACAGACAGTAAGGTGCCTCAGGCCAAGAATTACTCTCCTTTCTCCTCAGCCCTGCTGCTCTAGGACTTGGGTGTCTTGGGTCATCCCTTCTTCTCTGTCAGGGAAAAGCTTAATGCTTTCTCTCTGAATAGCTGGGAATCTAATGCCAGGCATGTTTGCATTTTAAAAGTAGAAGTAACTTTAAAATTTATGAATAGGGCCTTCCCTGGTGGTCAGTGGTTAAGACTGTTTCCACTGCAGGGGGTGAGGGTTTGATCCCTGATTAGGGAACTAAGATCCCATATGCCACTTGGTGCAGCAAAAAAAAAAAAAAAATTAAACCCAAAAAACTTATGAATAGATGTTCCTCTGCTTACAGTTAAAGAAATGTAAGTTTGATCAATAATAAGATATTTTTCCACTCATCAAATTCACAAATATCAGATAGTTTGAGAATAGTCTGAATTAGAGAAATAAGTGCCTGCACTGTTGTTGGTGAACCTGAAAATTGGTCTGACATACAAAAAAGGCAACTTGACATTTATCAAAATTTTAAATTCACATAGCCTTTGACCCCGAAGTTCCATTTTAAAGTAATTTATCTTGCATATGAGTACATATTTATAAACAATTACAATAGTAGCTATAAATATATACCTAGAGACATGCATATATGGATATTTATTGCAATATTTTTCTGTAGTAGCAAAATATAGGGAGTAAAACAAATGTCCATCATTGGTACATATAGAGCATTAATAAAATGAAATACATAATGTGAATTTAAAAAAAAATAAGATAAATATAAATACACTGACACATGGAAAGAGCTCCAAAGTATATTAAGAGGAAAAAAGCCAAGTGGAGAACAGTGTGCATGAAGTTTATAGAAATTTACATATTCATATATGTAAATATATGCCTATGTTTACATGTGATGCATGTATCGAAGGCCACCCCAAAATCCAGTAATAGTAGTTGCCTCTAGTGGGCTTCCCCGGTAGTGCAGCGGTAAAGAATCCACCTGATAATGCAGAAGATATGAGACCAGGTTTGATCCCTGGGTTGGGAAGATCCACTGAAGTAGGAAATGGCAACCCACTTCAACATCCTTGCCTGGAAAATTCCATGGACAAGGAGCCTGCCAGGCTTGCAAAGAGTTGGACACTGCTAAGCACACACACTCACACACTCATACATACCTCTAGTGAGGGGAATAGGGGACTGGGATTCTAGGGTGGAAAGCAGATGTATTTTCATGTGTATGAATATATACATTTTCTGAACTGGCATAAAGAACCATTGGAAGGTAACACAAGAAACCATATCTTAGCCAAAAGTGGTATTCACAGTATTGAATAATTGTGGCAGAAATACCTATAAATTAGAGTAAATGCTGCCCCCAAAGAACCAGTACCAGTGAAAATTAGCCTTGTCTGGGAGAAAGGGGACATAAAGGGATTAGGGTATGGAAACTGGGGCAGGGATGGGACAAGACTGGCAAGGATGGGAATGAGACTTCTCAATGTACTTCTTCATTACGTTTTAATTTTTGAACCATAGGATTACTATCTATTCCAAAATAGAAAATAAGATTTCCCCATACTCCCTGAAAGAACTCAAGCAGGAAGAAAAAGAAAAAAAAGCTACAGCAAAATTTGGTCTCAGGGAGAGCTCTGTGTTAATCAAAAGTAAAGATTGACTCAAATGATACAGTAAAGGTCACTTGAGACTGGACAACAGAAAGATGTTTGAGGGAAGGTAACTCTTCCAAACTAGAGATGGCACAGTACAGCCCTCCCTGGGTCCAACACTCACTGCTCCTTCCCCACCCAGCCCAGCCTGGGTGTTCACTAGGTTTCCTCTATCTAACATGGATTGAAAGGTTTTTGTAGCGCTTGTCCTCTAAGACAGGAGTCCCCAGCCTCCAGGTCATGGACTGGCACTGGTGCTTGGCCTGTGAGGAACCAGGCCACACAGCAGGAGATGGGTGGCAGGCACATGAATGAAGCTTCATCTGTATTTACAGCTGCTCCCCATTACTCGCATCACCACCCGAGCTCTGCCTCTTGTCAGATCAGTTTCTGGAAAATAAGCTCAGGGCTTCCACTGATTCTGTATTATGATGAGTTGCATAATTATTTCATTGTATATCACAATTTAATAATAATGGAAATAAAGTGCACAATAAACGTAATGTGCTTGAATCATCCCCAAACCACCTCCCACCGCCCCCCCCCCCAGTCCCCGGAAAAACTGTCTTTCACAAAACAGGTCCCTGGTGCCAAAAAGGTTGGGGACTGCTGCTTTATGGTCAGGTCATACTCAATCCTGTAAGCATGCTCCCAGCGTTTTAAGAATCCTTACCGTATGACTCCTTAGAAGCTTGTCCCACTGGATAAACCCGTCTCGGTTGGGGGAGGAAGTTTGGTAGGAGCACGGAAGGGTAGCATTTTTCCCCCTAGCAGCCCGAAGAACATCCTTTGGGGTTTCCACAGAGATGGCATAGACAGTCATCCAGACTGGAAAGAAAGCAGGAAGTAAATGACATGGCATACCCATTCATTGTCCACTGGATCTCCTCCAACCACAGCTCAACACACTACAACTGTGATCTTGGCCATGGCACAAGCTATTCTCCTCCAAGCCTCGGGTGAAGACAAACATGTACACCTTGGTTCACCCTGTCTCCATCCTGCAGCATCTCAATAAAGTTAAGCAGCTTGTGTGGTGGGCAAAAGCCTGGCTTTGAGCCTCAGCCCCATCCCTCCCCTTAGGCATTGTGTAAACTTTTCTTAGCCTCAGTTCTCATCCAGAAAAAGGAACACTGATACTTTCCAGAACTGTTTGGAGAATTAAATGAGGTAACATGTAAATGCATTGCTTAATGCCTGGCACAAAGAACGTCCTCAATAAATATTTCCCCCCATCTTCTTTTGTTGTAATGATAATTCAGTTAGTATTTAATACATATTTATGGAGCACTTATATATGGTAAATTTGTTGAATAAGATTAAGTCAAGGTAAAGAGAGAGAGGGTACTCCCAGGGGCATTTATTCTGCATAAGTTTATCAGAAAAAAAAAAAATGGTGAGAGAAAGTGTGGTCACACCAGCATCTCTCATCACATACATTCTTACCATGTGACATTGATTCTCCTCCATCCAGACCTGGGGTCTGCATCCCCTCCCCATGAATCTGAGTGGGCCTGTGACTACAGTGTGAGTGATGCCCATTTGGCTGAAGCTCTAGTAAGTGGATTTCCTTCCCATATAGTCTGGGTGCCCTTCAAACTGCTGATTTTTATGCTGTTTCTCAGGTGGGCAAGTCCATACTTGGGCCCATCAGCAATAACCCTCCTTGTTGGTTTCTGTGTTAGGGGTTGGGTTCACATGGATACAACATCTCTGTGTTTCCTACTCGTTTCTATTTTGTCCTTCTGTATGTAGTAACTGTTTGATCAGCCCTCAGATCCTCCTTAGGAGGAAGTGCCCTATATGTAGGTGTAGATTCGGTGTGACTGTAAGAGGAGGTGAGCTCAGGGTCTTTCTGTGTAGCCATTTGGACCCCTCCTAACCAGTCTGCATTTAATACACAGCCTCTCTGTGGCCATTTCAGGAAGGAGCATGGCACTGAGTTTAAATGCACAGGCTTCAGAGCTAGAATGCCTCTTTGGAATTCCAGTTCCTTTATCTACTAAATGTATATATAGCCTTGAGTGACTTACTTAAGCTCTCTGTGCCAGAGTCCTTGCTTAAAAAATGGGTTGTTTGAAAATTAAATAACATGAAATGTCTACTTTGTTTAGAAAGATTCCTGACCCATAATCAGTGCTTAATATATGACAGTTACATTATATATATGTGTGTTCAATATATATATATATACACACATTGAATAACTTTACTTTCTCATCTCATAGTCTTTTGTTGAGGTGCATCCTTAATTAGAACTTAATCACAAGAGAAACCATCACCATCACCATGGGTGAACTATCATAAATAGACAATAATTACTAATGACTATAACTAAAGAATAGATCAAGGGACTTCCCTGGTGGTCCAATGGTTAAGAATCTGCCTGTCAATGCAGTGGATATGAGTTCAATCCCTGGTCCCAGAAGAGTCCACATATGGCAGGGCAACTAAGCCTGTGCCCCTAGAACCCATGCTCTGCAATTAGAGAAGCCGCCACAGTGAGAAGCCCACGTGCCACAGCTAGAGAGGAGGCCAAGAGCAGCAACTGACTCAGTACAGCGAAAAATAAACAAGTTAATTAATTTAAAAAGAATAGACCACTTTTAAAGATCATAATAACACCGAGTTAGAGTCATTTTATGTTAGTTTGTGAGAGAAGAGATTGAAATGAATGGGTGAGGAAGAACTCATAAAGAAAGGGAAAATATCTTGAACAAATATAGAGTGCTATTTAAATGCTATTTGTAAACCTGAGAAGGATTTTTAAAGGCCAATCCTGTGCCCTAAGGCACACTTACATTTTCCATAATCCTAGATGAGAATTTATCCTATCTTTAAGAACTTCATGCCAACAGCCATCACTGGGAATCCTCCATAGCTAATCTAAATCCTTCTCACTGATTCAGTCAGTATCCTCTTGTTCTGACGTTACTGGCTACAAAGACCTCTGGCTTAACTTCTTAATAACTTCCCATCATAAACTCAGAGTATTCTGATGTTTGTAATCACCAGCTTTCTCATTCCTGGTTCTGTAATAAACTGTAATAAGCTCAGTTCCTTTCACCTCTTCCCATAGGCTTGCTGTTTATTAGCTCTGTGACCCACATTCTATGGAATCTTTGTATCCTACCCAGTGGATGAGGGAAAAGCACCAGCTGAGGATATCTAATCTATAATCAGAACACTAGGAAGTGGAGAAGTTGGTTTCTAGAGACCCCCAACAACCTCCTTTCTACTTTTTGTATAGGCCCACATTGGGTATCTTCTTTCCAGCTGCCCAGAACCTACCCTCTCCCCAGTAGCTGCCACTCTCATCCTGTTGCTGCTAACAGCTGTGTCTCTCCTAGTCCAGAAGTGTTCTTTCTCTCCTCCTCCCTCCTGCTCTCCTTTCTTTTTTTTCCAAGGCTGGGCTCTTCTGATATTGATGAAGATCATCTGTCTAAGCTAATTCACCATAAGGTGTTAAAAACTAATAGTTCGGTGATGTGTTAACCTTCCCAAGGGTATACAAATTGGGAGAGTAGGTGCTTTCACCTGCAAAGAAGGAATCAAAATCTCAGAATTTTGTGCCCCATGAGTACCTTCATCCCAGTACTCGCTCAAGAAAGTTTATTACACAACATGGCAGAGTGGCCAAAAGCACAACTGCTAGAGCCAAACTGCCCAGGCTGGCACCCTTATCCTTAGTTTTCCTAGCAGTGCATCCTTGCACAACTTAATTAACTTCTCTGTACCTCAGTTTCCTTGACTATAAAATGAGGTTAATTATGCTACCTAACTCAAGGTTGTGAGGGTTGGATGACAACGTACTTAGCATGCACAACCTTTACTCTGGCACATAAGCAAGAACTGTGTCCCTATTCTGTATTGTCCTGTCTTCTCTGCTACTCTGTGCTTCTTTCATTTTCATACCCCCAGGGCTCAATAAAGTGCCTAATTAATACATAGGAGATGCTCAATTAAGTGCCCTTTGCCAGCAAAATAAATGAGTTACAGAGAACTTAAGTTTAAAAGATGGGTAGGATTTACAACCAGAGAAACTAGAAAATGTAAAAAAAAAAAAAAAATCAAATAAATAACCAAAGGAGCCTCAGAGAGGGGACACCAAGTCTGCAGGTGGCCCCAGGTGGAAATGGTAAAGGTCACTGAAACTCCCTAAGTGACTGGGGTGTGAAGACCCAGCTTGAAGCCTACAGAATTGCTTGTAAATAATTAAGGTTGTTAAGAAGATAATAAACTGTCTCTTGAGAGCTAACTAGAAAGCAATACATCCAAGGAGGCTAATGAAATGCTTGATGGAACTGGCTGCTTGAGGCAAAGACAGCACATTATGGGAACCCTTGGGAAACTGGCAGTAATGCCTCCACTTAGGAAAATCCATTTGCACAGAGAAACCACAGTCTTAGTTAGGGAGGAGGTGCTGGAGGCCAGAAGGGACCCATTGTGCCCTAGGACTAGATAGATAGAGCTCTTACAGTGAGAAGGTGTTGGTCTCTAGGGCGAGGGGTGCAGCTCATACGTGCACGTGCATGTTGGCTTGTCCTGTCCCCCAAGGTGGAAATGACCCCTGCAGGCTCTCAGAATGACAGCTGGGGAAGGAGAGATGGAGAGGTGGGGAGGAGGGGTTCGAACTCAATGGACATTTGTGGAAGTCTTTTTTCAACAAAGATCTTTAGGAATCTATATATTCCGGTTAATTTAATGAATTTTTCCTAAGGCCCTAATTTAGTGCGAGGCACTGGGAAAACGATCAGAGGCATGTTCATGTCCCACCTTCTTGGGGAATCCACCAGGACCATCTCAGCCCTTACTGGCTTTGTTGAACTCCTCCAGGGAGCTTGTGTCCCATGCACACATTATTATCATGTCAACGTGGGTCTATGTGTGCAGGCTGCCTCCCCTCATCAGATGGCAGCTCCTTCTAGCAGGGTCTGTGTCTCAGACTTCTCTTGTACTCATCACTTGCCAGTTCCCACCCCCGAGGTGTCTACACAGAGCTGTGTGCTAATAAGACCTTGTTTGTCCAGTGGTTTGTATTCTCTGCCCAGGAAGCAGTCCCTGTCAGCCAGCATCCTAACAAAGCCTAATTAAGTGTTCAGTACAAGTGTTAAGGAGTGAAGTGTGAAGGGATGGAGGTAGGGAGAGAGAGGAGGGACTGCGTTTGGATCCAGAAGAAGACTTTAATGGAAAGCCTTACTGAGATGGTGGGACTTGAAATAGCCCCCAAGGGACTCTGTTCACATTGTTGAACTTGTGTATATAAGAGAGTAAAGCAGGGTGCATAACTGTGCATATAACAGTATCCCACTTCCACAGAGTCACAGAAAGAAAGTCAATGTTAGAAGAAAATATATCAAAGTATAGAATTAATAGCAGTTATCTCTGGATTCTGGATTTCTTCTTTGTGTATTTTTATTTTCCAAACATTCTGCAGCAGACATGTGGTACTCTTGTAACCATTAAACTGAGTTACATTTCTACAAGTCAAGTAGGAAATGAGGAAGTAGAGAAGTGGGGACAGACAGACTGTTTTGTCAGGGAGCTGGCCTAACACAGAGAAATGGGAAAGCTGGAGCCAGAAGGCTATTAAAGATCTTCAGAAGGTCTCTTTCACCCCCTCTGGAATGGAGGATGGAGAGACTTGAGCAGGCTCCTAGGTTACAGGGATGGAGCTCCTAGAAAAGAAGTGGCTCCTTAAAAAAAAAAAGGAGGAGAAGCCGGATGGAGCATGAGCCCTGCCTGGGTGGGTATGGGCACAGGTGGAGGACTAGCCTTGCCCATGGCAAGAGGGACCTGTGCCCATGTGTGCAGAAAGAGATCAGCTG